GATTCGCCACCTTTGCGCTGCTTGCTGTGTGCCAGAGACTTCCGCCGCCGTAACGACATGGCCCGACACAAGTGCATTGCCCAGCGGAAGTTGCCTGTGTCACAACAGAAGGGTGCCAGGCAATGTATGAAGTGCATGCGGTGGTTGAGGAGCGCTGGAGGACTGGCTGTGCATCGCTGTCCTGTGTCCACGGATGTCCCCACTGTATCTATTCGCCATGAATCTGACTTTTTTCGATGTGATGTTTGTCGCCGCTCTTTCCGCTCCCGTTCTGGTTTGAGCCGTCATCACTGTGACCATGCGAAACGGATGTCACGTGCAGCCAGGAACAACTGCCGTCATGAATGCGAGCATTGCGAAAGACGGTTCTCATGGCCACAGGACTTGCAACGCCATGCCTAATATTGTTGACTTTGCGATTTCTCTCTCTTCTCTTCTCTCTTCTTGTCGTTGTCTCCCGCTTCTGGGAGCGGCGTGGCCCGACAGGGTAGCTGTACATAGTAGTAGTAGTAGTAGTAGTAGTAGTAGTAGTAGTGTGTGTGTGCATGGTGTGTGTGTGTGTGCACGCGTGTGCGCACACTCGGCTGTGTATGCGCGTCTATGCGCTCACACCCTATGGATTTGTCTTGCTTTCATGTTTAGATCGAGGCACTGACGGCTATTCTGCGCAGTCAGCGGGTGTATGGCACACCGCCTAAGAGAGGCAGTAATCATGTGGTTGTGATAGGACAGCTTAGTCCACAGGATCTTCATGACATGCTGAGTGAGCTGTACGCTTACCATCGACTGCAGGTACACTGTAGTGTAGTCCACTAGGAACTAGGATTATGTCATTACCGTATCTTTATGTGTTGCAGCTCTTTCTCCGGCCTATGTGGTGGTTCCACTGTTGTCACTGTTGTCACTCTTGGAACAGTACATCTGATTCTCCCACAATGCAGTTTTCATACTCATCTTCGCTCCCGGTAAAGGACCATGCTTTCCATGAGGAGGGAGTGGGGCATATTCTTTCCTCTACATGTATTTATTTTGCTCCACGAAAAGTAGACCGCCGTGTGTGTACAGTAAAACCTGTCAAGGCAGCGACCACTCGGATAAGGCAACCGCCTGTCCCAGAATACCACTGCAACCAGCACCAAGGGATGCTATTTCCAGTCAAATGACTCTGGAAAAGGAGGCCACCTGGTTATAAAGACCACTTTTTGAAGGTCCCTTGAGCGATCGTCTTAGACAGGTTTCACTGTATATGTGTGCGATTGTGGGGTGCATGATGGGTGCATGTACCGGTATGTGGACATGCGGATGCATGTGGTGGATTCATGTGGTGGATTCATGTGGTGGATTCATGTGGTGGATTCATGTGGTGGATGCATGTGTTTGCGGGTATGTGGGTGTGTGTTTCTGTACACGTACCTGTATGCGTGTTTGTTTAGAGCATGACTGTGGTAATATTGTCACCGTCGGAACCAAACAATGAGCTGAAACTATTGCTCAATGTTCCATTGTATCGCCGGCGTGTTGTCTACTTGTATGGCTCAGCATTGAGTGATCCTGATTTGGAACGGGCACAGTAAGTGATCGCTGTAGGTCATTGGCAGCACTGGCTTCCTGGGTTGACATGCTGCAGTTTTGGTTCTCCGGTGTGGTTCTTGTTCCAAGCATTTGCCTTGACTACTTTTCATGTGTGTGTGTGTGTGGGAGGGGGGGGGGGGGGGGGGGGCGTGCGTGCGTGCATGTGTGTGTGCTGGGTATTGTGTAACATCAGACGTATGTGATGCTTGATATGACGCACAGAGTTTGGATTTCTTTGTAGCTGAACCTAGCTGGGGAAGTGAGCTGGGCTTGGCTCACATGGCAAGGCTAGAAACTCTAGTGTTCCATTTAGAGCGCACACGATGTGTGTATTTTCTTCATAGTAACACAACATAGAATATAATATTCAAGCTGCAATAAGCAGAATCCAGCGAGCCTGCAGTAAGTGGACACTTTGCTTGATCTCCGGCCCAGACATACAGTGTTCTCTGTGTTTCTCCTTGTACTGAGCAGGATACGGAGCGCCAATGCATGCTTCATTCTCGGCAATCGACGTACCAATAATCACCAAGAAGAGGTATGTGTGTGAGTGGTTACTGTATGCAGTGTTGTGCTCCTACGCACACTGGTGTTTAGTTTTGCTAAGAGTGTACCAATGTGACCTTCTTTTCCGAAAGACTGTGTGTGTGTGTGTGTGTTTGTGCGCGCGCGTGTGTGTGTGTTTGTGCGTGCGTGCGTGTGTGTGTGTGTGTGTGTGTGTGTGTGTGCATGTGTGTGTGTGTGTGTGTGCATGTGTGTGTGTGTGTGTGTGTGTGTGTGTGTGTGTGCGTGTGTGTATGTGTTCTTGATTGGAAACAAAACAGGATCAGCGTACACTACTCAGGTGCTGGGCAGTACGTGACTATGCGCCAAGGGTGCGCATGTTTGTTCAGCTGTTTGATCGTCGCAACAAGTTCCATGTCAACTT